GGCGGAGAGCGCCGATTTTGACGCCATGGTCGACGAGGGGGAGGACGTCATCGACCTGGACGGACGCACAGCCATGACTGAATGAATGACGGACTGACTAGTCAGCAAACCGACAGACCGGCCGATGGATCGATCGCAGAGGTCTTCACGCGACAGACACACACAGAGATATCGGGAGGGATCGAGATGGGAGACGCGGGCAGGCAGGCAGGCAGGCAGGCAGGCGTGTTTTCTTGCGCTGGGCGGTGGGTGGCTAGTGGATGCCATGCTTTTCTCGGTCCCGTTCCTGCCAGCCCACCACACACACTGTGTGGGGCGTTGCCTGGTGGGCCCTTTAGCATTTAACGAGAAGCGTGTCGTCAAGACCGACAGACAGCGAGCAGCCGGACGTTTGTGATCGACCCGCCTCGTGTGTGTGTGTGTGTGAGGGTGCGCGTGTGCAGGCGATGATGGCACACACGCGCACCCTCTCACACACTGCACACACAGGCCTTATCCCCCCCCTTCCCTCTCTGCGCGTGGACCCCTGTTGACATGAGCCTGTGTGTGAGTGTGTCTGTCTGTCTGCCACGCGCTGCTGCACACGCGCATTCACCAAATTCGCAAACCCTACGCATAGTTAGGGTTTAACTGAGCACATCAGCCGCCGCCCCGCCCCCCTGCAATGGGAAAAAGCCTCCAAAGCAGAGGGTGTTTACAATTGCGAGCTTGAGTTGTGCTAGGGGTCGCTAACGGCCCATGCCCTCTCCGAAAACACAACAGCATCAGAGAGGCTCACACACATAGAGGCCTCACACGAAGCGAGAAGCAGCCACAAGGCCCCCCGGCTGACATCTCTTTCTGCCTGTCTTCAGGAAGATGCTGCCCATTCTCAGCGACCAGGACACGCTGTGGTGCGTTCTAGCACACTTTTTGTGCCATCCTAAGGGAGATATGATTGCTTTTTGGAGAGACCCCTATGTGTTCTACAAAGCACTTTCCCAGGCCTACCCTACCGACAACTCCATCAGAAGCCGCGCGACCCACACACACGTCCGTCCGCCAAATGCTTGCTGATGCCTCATCCGCCAAAGTCAAGTCATCTCAAACACAGCCGCTCAGCTTCTGGCGTGTGCTGTGGTGTGCAGGGTGCGCCCAAGCCGACGTCGATATTTGGCTACCACAGGCGGGCATCGCCCCCTCCCTGACCACCTCGTCACATGACAAGAAGGCGACACAAGACCTGGACCTGGGTGGGCCAGTGGGCGGCAAGACGGCGGGGGGGCCGTTTGCGACGGTCACTGGGGCAGCGGCTGCTCGCGAGTCGTCACTGGAGTAAGCGAGCGGGGAGGGGTAGGGCATTGTGTATGAGTGAGGCCATGTGTGTGTGTGTGTGTGTGTGGAGTGATGAGATAGAGGAGGAGATCGAGGCCGACGGTGAGTATGACGACGAGGAGTTCGAGCCCTCAGACGATGGACAGATCATCACGCGGGATGACCAGCCCACAGGTGGGTGAGCAATATTACTGACACAAACTTTCGGCAGACACG